GTCTTCCAAAAGAGGACACGACTAGAAATCAGTGGTTAAGTTGTATTTACAACACTGCTCCAGAACAGTTCGACCCAAATATTCAGATGTGTCCAGCGCATTTTAAGGAGGCCTGTTTCCTGATCCTGGTAGAGTAGACTACAATGCCGGCTGTTCTGACTCACAGACTGTAAGTACATTTTTATATTTAAAGAATTTGCCACTTCTCGTCGCTCCGGCCGGGACACGCCATCACAGTATGGTAAGGAGTGTAACATTTCTCTCACACGCTTGAGGTATTTGACCAATCACAACGCACTGAATAGCTGGCCAATCAGAGCACACCTCGCTTTTCAGACCGATGAGCTTTGTAAAAATCACGCATTTCAGAAAGGCGGGGCATAGAGGAGAAACAATAATGTACAGTACGTGGAAAATAATGTGTTTTTTTAACCTTAAACCGCATAAACACATTTCATTACACCAAATACACAAAATAATGTTCTTTTTAGCAACATCATATGACCCCTTTAAATCACATTCATCCTGAGAAGCACTGGTTATTGTCTGTGCTTGTTTTCAATATCATGTTGACATATATGTGAACTGTGTGAAATTGTGTCTCATAAAGTGAGGCTGCGAATTGGAGTTTATAGGCATTTTATGTGAGGACACCGGGGACATCGTGGCGTCTAATTATCATTCTGTGTGAGGCATCTGTCTGCACAGATGTTCAGCAGAATATGCCTTAGTGCATTTACTTCATATAAAGGTAACCATTGCTTCTTCTAAGTGTTCAATTAAATTACATTTTTCTGCATAATTATTTTTCTCCCTGTCCTTATGACAATCTGCAGACAAAGTCAACTGAGGCAATAATCAAACTTGCTCACCTAAAATGTTCACTCTCCCTCTTATATATTAAACTTTGTTTTAGTGAACCAGCTTATTTAGAAAGTTCATTTCAATGAAGAATGAAGAAAAGATTTATCTATCTATCTATCCATCCATCTATATATTGTTATATCGTTCTATCATTCTATCTATTGTTCTATCTATCGTTCTATCTATCTATTGTTTTATCATTCTATCATTCTGTCTATCGTTCTATCTATCGTTCTATCTATCTATTGTTTTATCATTCTATTATTCTATCTATCGTTCTATCTATCCCTGCACAGACATTTGTGTGGTATCTTTTTCCAATATACCAAACAAGATTGATTTAAAAAAAAAAATAACAATAAAAAGAAAGAACAATAGCTACAATACATCCTTTTATTAGTAACTTATAAGATAAATATTTTGTCAGAATGGCAGCGAGAGAAATAGAGATGCTGATTTGTGAGCAAATAATTCCTTTGAGTCGGTTCTTTTTAATTTGGTTCAGAAAGGCTGTCAGAATGAATCATTCATGAATCTGACTAATCCGAATTCATGAATGAATTCAGAAAATGCTCACAAAATTGAAAATCCTGTACATTCTTGAAAACATCTCCATTGTTGAAGAAAGAAATTAATGCTGCAACACGAAGGTGACTAAATGAACACAGAAAGTTCTTTTTTGGGGTGAACTGTCCCTTTAAATTATGAGTAACTTGTAGTGTTGTGGGCTGCAGTTTCGATCATTGAAACATTTCAGAAGCTACACTTACAGCAAAACTTCTGAATGCTAATGTTTCAGATGCATTGCACCTACATGTTCACCAGCCTTTGTTTTTTCCTCTAATATTATTGTAATACCATGTTTCACAAATAGGCTTCACACTGTCAAGCTGTCGCTGACTTGAATCCCAACAAACCCTGCCTTTCATGCGCTGCTCCTGTGGGGAACCGTTCTGTGAATAGGACAGCGACAAAGCATTCTTTTTTTCCATGGGAATGCTTCCCATCGACGTGAATATCCCATCCCCAAAAGCCTGGAACTAATCACACTAACGAGTTCACTAAGGCCACCTTCTGCCAGTGATTGGAATCACAAACACCCACCAAGAAAAAAAAAAAAAGCAGCCAAACTTCAAAGATAAAATCGCCAACGCTCTCTGTAAACACTAATGAGCAACAAAGTGATAAAACACATAATCTGTACAATGTGGGCTTGTGCGCTTTGGGAACATTTATGAACGCATATATGCCATCGCATCCCATAATGCCTCACCTTGAACACTCAGTGGCCCAAAAGCAAAGTGTGCTGGCCAAACTATGAGTACGGGGAGTTGAGATTCCTCTCGCACACTGGCCTATGGGCTTGGAGGCGTCGCAATGTGGAGGAATTTGAATGTAAATGCCTCTAGAGAGAGGAGCCCCCACGTTGGCATTCAGTTCCTGTCAGGCACTGAGTCTGTGCCAGGCACTCTTCTGAGAGGAGGTGACAATGAGAGCTGTGAGAGAGACGAGGGAACCTGGAGTGTCTGCTGGGTTCCAGAGCTGACACACATGGTGCATTGTGGGTAGGATGGCAGACAGGAGAGAACCGGGCATTAAAAGGTGGAGGAGGGTTCTGAAGAAGTAGGACAGGGCTAATAGCGGGGGTTCATGTCAAATAGATCAACTGAAGCAATACTAATATTGAACCATAACGAATAGCAAGCATGTATGGTACTACAAAGGCCAAGAATAGAATATGATGAAATATATCAAATGGTAAATAACAGAAAAAGTGTCATAAACATGCAAGGTGTGTTGGTGATTTGGAAAAAGTTCAGAAGGTCAAATACAGAACGTTCAAATTCAGACACTCCTGTTAACCTATATGTTTGGATTAGATCAGCTTTATTTTCATTATGTTCTCTATTATTATTTTCTCTATTATCAATAATATAGTTTCTTACATGAAGGAAAACAAATCATTATTATCATCATCACTGTCATCAAGCTCTGGTTAAATCAGCTTTATATTCATATAACAAATTATTATTATTATAGATGATACTCAAGTCAAGATAGTCAAAAAAAAAATATTAACATCACTGAATCAACCTAAATACATTAACTGATACCAACAAATTATATTTTTATGAGTTAAATCAAGTAGAAATAGCTTGTTAGGGAAATTAATAATAATAATGATAGGAAAATATTACTATTATTATTATTGTTGTTGTTGTTATTGTTGTTGTTGTTGATAGTATAGTAGAAGTAGTACTAGTATAATTTATTGCTATTACTATTATTATTATTTTGCAGGTAGTAATATTTATATTGCTCCTTAAATCTGAAATAATATTACTTACAATATTTATAAAACATTGTAACATTTGGTAATATCAAATATTTAAAATCAGATTATTAATTATTAATAATAATGATGATGTTTGTTGTTGTTGTTATTTTTGATGATGGTGATGCAATTATTATTATTTATTATTATGCGGGTAGTAATACCATAATAATAATCTTCAAATCTGAAATAATATTACTTACAATATTTTACATTTAGTAATAAAAATAATATTATTTATTATTAATATTAATTATTAAACTATTATTATCTAAACATAAATCAATATATAAATTTGACTGTTTAAATTCTATAGAATCTATAGAAATGTATCTAAATGATGTTCTGTAAAATTCTACAGCCTCGTAATTTTCCCCAAATGTGCGACTTTTCTGAACGCAGGCACCTGACTTCCACTCCTCAATGACTACATAACACCCTGCTCGCTCCTGGACTGTGACGTCAGAAGTGATGCATAAGGGTCTCATAAAGAGACTGCAATTGATCCAGAAAAACTTACCTCTGCTGTGCTGCTCAAAGGAGCGTGTACACTTCGCCACGCACAAGTTATCGTGCGAAACATCTGACTGCACATCCAACATTGTAAATACGTCACGTGCAACATTCAGTGTCAGTGTAACAAAAGTTATTGCGTAAAGTCTGGCAGCTGGCTATCAAACCCCAGCCTCATTACATTTCAGTTGGAAAATGATGCAATATAATGCATGGCTCTCATCCACACCCGCCTAAACAGCACTGACCTAGATCGGGTGTTACAGACGGGGTATTTTTCTACACCCACATAAAACTGATGCATGAATGATCCGTCTCTTGAAATTTACGTCCATGCAAGTTGCGTGCGTTTATGACCAGCAATTTCAATGCATGTTCTGTGTTGCATTCAATGCACGTCCTGCAAGCTTTACTACATGTGGACTGTAAAAATCACAACTGTCTTGATTTAGTTAGTACCTATAGTTAGAAAAGAACTAAGACTAACCTGACGGAAATGGGATGGCGCACCGGTACTTGGGACTCGATTTCTTCTGCTCCTCTCACGCGCTGCCAGCAGTCATTTCAAGGTTTGCTTTCGTCAGTGAAGGCTATGCGTGTGTAATCGCGGCGGTCAGTGTACAGTATGTAACCCCGTCAAACAAATATTCCGCAGCCGAGCAAACAGCGTTGTTTTGAGGCACGAGCTGAGGGCGCGGAGGCTGGACAGCTCCGGTGCTGAATTCTGTAGTGTAACTTTGCTCTGGAGACCGTACAGCTCGCGTAAATAAACACAACCCTGGTAAAAGTTGTGTCTGCTGCTTCTGCTGACTAGCCCACTAGATTCGCGAGGGTCCAGTGTTCTTCGAGCCTCTTCGTGGAACTTGTTTTCAGCCTGCGAAAGGAGACGTTTCATTGGTCTGTTCAAATGACGTTGGCACTAGGAAATGAGATGAGCCAATACACGGAATGTGGATGCAAAACTGCTTTAATGAACATACATCGTCTTGTTGATTTTGGGGGGTTGTAATCATTACATTACAATATTTTCACTAATCAGTAAAGAATATCTAGACAACAGGGTGTGCATACTTACAATATACAGTTTTGGCTACAAAAACTAGGCCTATTTATTAATTATAAATTGTTCATTTGACATACTTATGTCCGATAGCGGGGCATGTAGTAGCTTTATATGAAGTAAGTTGTCTTAAACAGACCTTATGGGAGCGCCACATTTAATCGTTGGCAGGAACGAAAACGAGGCTGTGAGGCCTGGTCTCATGAAAACGTGTACAAATAGTACACCAAATAAAAACAGAAAAATTGACTTTGGCGAGCATTTGATACGCACGTGTTTGGCGTGAAAATAACACAGTTTTCGCGTGCATATGACACGCATCTACCCCACAACCCTAATCCTACCAATTGCGTATCATATGCACGCCAAAGTCAATTTCTGCGTATAAACAGTATGCCAAATCGAAACATAAACTCGTGCTATTGATACGCACTTTCATTAGATCGGGTTGTACGTGACCTAGGACCTTTATACAGTGCGTGTCAATGTAAAGTCTAGTCCTCACAGCCTCGTTTTCATCCGCTTTAAAATCAATATGGCGTCTAACCCGATTAAGGTCAGCTAAATTTAAACAATAAAACAAAATTCTTGAATAAAAACAAAAAAGTAAAAGCCAATACAAACAAAAATATCAAAACATTGTTTTGGCAAATAGATATTGCTAATAATGAGTTACATACATTTACATAACATACAAAACATGTGACAACTTGCCCCAATCTTACAAATATTAAACATCCTTGTCTGTCCAACTCCAAAAATCTGTTCAATTTAATGCGCAATTTTACCAGAGTGCTCAGAATTTCTCATGTGAACAATCAGAATCAAGTATTCCAGAGAGCTCAAACTTAATAAAAGTTCATAATATCATGAAATATAGGCTAATTAACCTTTATTTGACAAAATACTGACAAAACTCACTTTCTGATATTCAAAGTTTTTTTCAAAGTTAATGTTGATGTTTATAGTAAAAAATATTAACAAGGTTTTAGATATGTTTACATATAGTATGTATAAGGGAAGTGATCATTTAAGCGCTGTAACATTTATATTTTTTATATTACATATTTATATTTTACCTTATAGCATTTAGCCTAAACAGTCCTGCAGCGTGACAAATTAATTTTTTAAGTAATTCCTGGTTGTGGCTAGAAGGGATACAGCTAAAACCGGAAGCTAACAATAAATTTAATTTGCTACCTATTAGATTGTGTTTTATTAACGTCTACACCTACCCCAACACTGTTGTACAGTGTGACAAAAATTATGCTATACTGATGTGTGCATGCCAAGTAGCATGCCATTTTAGCTGTATCCCTTCTAACCTTAACTGTAATTCCTGTCTAAATAATATGAGGTCTTACAATCTGTATGTAATAATAATTCAGTCAAAATATCAATAATAATAATAACAAAAAATACATCGATCTATCACCAATAATCATCATGTGCAAAATTAGGTTGAGGCTCTACCAAATAAGACTTGAATAATGAAATAATGATCCAAACACCCCTAATTTGTCCCATTTTGTTACGACCACCAAAATTTCATGGGATTCTTTCTGACGCAATAAATGAATCCATACACCTTCATCAAGATCTCAAATACCTATGGACAGTCAATCCTGTGTAGGCAGTTATGTTCAACACTTCCTAGTATGAGGTCCCAGTGCATGCTGGGTCAAATGGAGACACATACATAATTAATGCTGAGGTAAATGCACATTGAACAATGGATACCCTAGGGACTACTACACCTTACTGTCAAAAAGGAAAGAAAGAGAAGATTGTGTGCTTATAAATTAGACCCTGTAGCAAGCCCAAACTCATGTTCAAATGAATATTACTGTTATTGATATTACAGGCAAAATGGAGAGGCTAATGAGGCTTTGTATGGGGCATTTTAGCTGATAATTAAAAGGCCTCTGGGGTTACTTTTTGTCACTTTTGAAAAAATAAATAGACCATAGTCAGGGTAGCGCCATATTAAATTTTTGACAGGAATGAAAATGAGGCTGTGAGGGACTGAAATACAGTGCATTCAATGGACTGTACTGTTGTTAAACAACATACAGATTGTTCAGCTGATGAAACGTATT